CAGTGTTTTTCCCCATAGTTCTCCTTGGGATAACGGGAGGACACAAACTAGCGTCCTCCCGTTACCCTAAGCTCAGTATACCGCGAGCTACAGCTCGCGGTATACTGAGACGCCACACCTGGAGCAGATCCCGACTTAGATGACGGGATCCGCCCAGCTGCGTGAGTGACAACTTTTTATCAACCACTGCGGTCTATTTATAACGCAGTGAATGTGACTTTGACCAAACATTCTCTGGTAAGGAATCAATCACTGTCATTTAAAACACATAGCCCTGGAAGATTCTCCTGCAGAGAATATGTGCGAATGCTAGATCCACTGCTTTATAAATGTGCCACTGTCTGCTCCTACTTCCACTACCAATCGAAACATTCTATCCCATTATACACACACAAACAGATCATTGTTCACTTCAGATCTGCTGAATGGAAGGATGAGCGCCAACTCTCAGAGAGGGTAACATACACACTGCGATTTCCGAGTGCCATCTGCTGGTTATATTCAGTCACCTGACTATAGAGAAATATTTATGCTAATCCGGTCTCATTTGCCTGAAGATTTGAATTGATAATATAGTTACAGTCTTGTTTGTCTTTATATATAAAGTAAATCACCTGCAAGGCTCCATGTTCAGGTCTCCTGTAACCATGACATATATCTGTGTCTGAGATAAATAGTGACGTGCGTTGTCGGCCTCTTTCCTTTTGGATTTTCTATTCTTTCCTTATTTTTGGAATATAATGGAGGTAATGAAGATATATACACTGCCTGGCCCCCCAAAAAAATCACCACGTGGATTCAGCTAAGCAGTTATTTCAGAGCCTTCCATTGGATAATAGGTCTAAGGCCTGGTTCACACCTGGGCGTTTTACAGCGCTGATCTACGCGCTGCAAAACGCTCAGCATGTGAAAACCAATAATTGCCTATGGGCATGGTTCCCATCTGGGCGTATTTCAGCACGTAGGAACGCACTGTAAAACACCCTACGCCCAGAGAAGTACAGGAGCTTCTTTGGGGCGTATTTTCCGCGCATATCCATTAGGATACAGCCGGATAGCCCTCGTAAATGCACAGCAGCCACGCCCACTGGCTGCAGCGCGATTGTCCGCACTAAAACGCGTGCCACATCAGTGCCTGCGTTCCGGTCCGATGCCGTCACTAATAATGCTGCATGCACTATTTTTACTGACCGGACCGGAACGCAGGCAATAAATGTGCCACGCGTTCCGGTGTGGGCGATCCCACTTTGGCCGGAGAGCGTGGCTGCGGTACCATTGGCTGTAATCCACCCGTCCCGCCCCAATGCAAAATGAGCCAGCCGGAATGCGATCCAGCGCGTTCCAGCACTAATCCGAGTGGGGTGAGTGTTATCTCCCTCGGACAGGAAGTGTGTTACTGGCAGAATCAGCAGGTGAAAATAAAGGAAAAGGCTGAAAAAAGAAAACTAATGCAGTCACCACATCTAAGGACTGATATAGAATATATTTGTTTTCTCGGTTTAGATATGCCTGAGACCAGAGACAGCCAGGCAACCAGCATTTTCAGGAGGTCTCCATATGTCTGTCAGTACAGGTACCAATAAAAGGTAACCGATATGTCTGCTGTGTATATGTATTACAACGCAATCAGAAATAAATAGGCAACATGTATATTATATGTTTTACTTTAGATTAAATTACAATAAACAATGATGACATATATTGATAAAAGGAAAATGATATTTGTATAGAAACATTTCTTTATATACAGCCGTGACAACAATACATTTATGTTTGTGAATGTACAACTGATTCTTGGGTAAATATTGATTCAGAATGTAGGCAGCATGGTTAATAGGTGACCCTTACACCACAGACTGAGACTTTGTCATGACAGAATGTGTGCTCTATCATTGAGTAACAGGCGGACGATCAGCCAGTTTATACAATAGTCACATGACAACTTTCCTAACAAGCTGCACAGGATCATGGCGGTACTTTGCACCGGCGCTTCTTAACCTTTTGTTTTTGGTCATTGGGTCCTTTAAAGCAGGGGTGTAAAACTCAATTTAATCGTGGGCCCCATCAACATTATGGTTGCCCTCCAAGGGCCTGTAAGACTATATAAAGGTACCTAATCTTTATCATAATTGCCTCTGCATTCGATTATCACTGGTTTTAGGAATAACTTAATACCTGGATCTGAAAGCAGAAGTTTCGGATTCTCCCCCTTGGCCTTGAGTTTGACACATGTGTTTTAAAGTGTGGAAATCTTGAGGCACCCCGGTCTAAAATCCATACCCTTATTACAGATAGGGGTTTGGAATAAGTTTAAAGGGGGAACCGACACAATAACACAAGAAAAAATGTGAAGCTCCCCCTTTCAAATCAGGAGACCCCTTTCACATCAGAGTCCCCCTATACATTAGGCGCCCCATGTGACATAAGAGTCCCCCCTTTTCACACTGGGAGCCCCCATTGACATCAGGGTCCCCCCTTTTACATCAGGATCACCCCTTCACATCAGGGTCCCCCTTCACATCACAAGCTCCCTTTCACATCAGGATCCCTCTTTACATTAGGCGCCCCCGTGACATCAGAGTCCCCCCCTTTCACACTGGGAGCCACCATTGACATCAGGCTCCCCCCTTTCACATCACAAGCTCCCCATCACATCAGGGTCCCCCCTTCACATCACAAACTCCCTTTCACAGCAGAATCCCTCCTTTCACATCAGAGTCCCCTTTTCTCATTAGGAGCCCCACTTGACATCAGAGTCTCCCCTCCTTTTACACTGGGAGCCCCCATTGACATCAGGGTCCCCCCTTTACATCACAAGCTCCCCTTCACATCAGGAGCCCCCTTTACATCAGTAGCCGGCTTCACATCAGGAACCCCCTTTACATCAGTAGCCCTCTCCACATCAGGAGCCCCCTCCTTTTACATCAGGATCCCTTTTTACATCAGAGTCCTCAGTCCCGCCTTCATATCAGAGTCCCACCATCACATCAGGAGCTGCAGCTATGGCATCATGACAGAGGGCAGGAAGCCTGGGCGGGGGGGTTGAACTTCCATCTATTACTATATGGATTCCACCCTCCCTGGATTAGCCTCATTCATTTCCATGATGCTGTCAGATGACCCGTCTGCACCATGCAAAGGCATGACATTGACTGTGCAAAAATCTCAAGGCACCCCTGAGAAAGGCAGAAAGCACTCCAGGGTGCCATGACTCCCTGATTGAGAAAAGCTACTTTACACCTATTCATCCCATACATGGTCCATGGTTCTCTTTCCAGCTAGCTTATGTTTTCCTATTGTGTGAAAACTAAGGATGGGTGAGCGGTCTTCCTAATGTACTACAACAGTGGTGGCCGTGATCTTCCAGGTCTTGTACTGCACTATGCTGAGCAGCTTCCCCTGTGCTCTGAAAACGGAAAAGCTCAGCAGCCCTTTAGAGAATGCATAGTATTTCTTATCAGCGCATACAAGGCATTTTCTGATTGGACAAATGGCAGATATCAACTTCACTGCCCCTCGTCCAGTCAGAGACAGCCTTGTATTTATTGCTAAAAATACTAATAGGGGAATTTATCAAAACTGCAGCAGACAAATCTGGAGCAGCTGTGCATGGCAAGCAATCAGCTTCATTTTGTTCATTTAAGATATAAAAATGAAAGAGAGAAGCTGATTGGTTGCCATGCACAGCTGCTCCAAATTTTGTCTGCTCCAGTTTTGATAAATTCCCCTCTACGGGGTTCTCTGAATGGCCGCTGTGCTGAGCAAGGACCCGCTGTGCTTTCGGAACTTTCACAGTACAGGACCCGGAAGACTGCAACCAGCACTGTAGTAACTCTGACTACTAGGGTACTTTACAGGATCCCCAGCTAATGATCAGGTATGGCATATGCATACTTACATTGGAGCAAGCTGGACGTGAGTAAACAAATTAATGCATACCTGAAGTTCAGCTTTTAATAAAATATCCCGTATCTGTCCCTTAATTGCTCATTAGAAGCTGCCTATAGTGGCCTATGTATTATATGGCTCCAAAAAACAACTAAAAATTGTAAGAAATATTCTTTAAACAAACTATTTTTAGGTATTCTGTGTGAATGGCAACATATAGCCAAAATAATGGGGGTCTACTCTCTGAGCTCTCTTTCCCCATTCATTAAAGTGACACTAAACTCAGGAGTTAACGCTTAAAAACACATTCACATACCTTAACTAGTGATGAGCCGAACACCCCCGTGTTCGGTTCTAACTCGAACTTATTAACTATTAACAAAAATTTCACTTATTTGTGTATCACTCAGCTGTAGATCCTCAAATCCTCTCTGAATTGATGCTGACACTGTCCTTCCTTCTGGAGGGGGGCTACTTTTGTTCCCCATGGTCCCTGTGTGTGTTGTAAAGTAGACACGCTCCAAGCTCACTCCTGTGATATACTACAAGCTCAATACAAATTTGTAAACTAAATATGAGATTGTAGTCCATCACGGGAGCGAGCTTAGAGCGGTGGCATAAGCTTCACAACTCTCAGTGATACAAGCAGGACTGTACCATCGCCTTAGCCACTGGCAGACATACTAAGCATGCTACACAGGGGCAAAAATGTAAAAAGTGAGCAATCATCACACCAACAGGTGGCCAGAATGGGTCAGTATATATCTGGACGGTAATATGAATATGATATAAATGAACGGTAATATGCCAACAAGACATAAACACGCAATTAATATCAATACTGAACCTGAGATAAGGTATGCAAGGCAATTGCAACCCCCAACTGACTACTTGCCTTATCAGCCATTACAACTCCCTTATGTGTTTCAATGGTTAATCCTCCATGGACCTTAACTACCATGGGTGCGTCTATTACATACAAAGAGGAAGAGCAACTATACCTGGTACATTGATCTACATCAAACACATATGTATTCAGGAACAGGTTCTGAAGACATTAGTAAGGGACAGACTAAGGAGATATAGAAAAACATAGGATGGTAGAAAATCATGGACGTGGATTTTGACTTTAGTCTTTGTATATGTTGTTTTTCTTCTCTTTACATATCCTGCTGTTATTACTGTTACACCTCAGAACATTCAGGCAATAGATATCAAATGATATAGTACAGTAAGCATTAGTAGTCAGAATTTTACCTATGTCATACAGTTAGTGTTCCTTGGTTGCACACAACTGTGCATTAACAAGCAACCTAACCAGTTCTGACTGCATGAGATCTGTTGGTTACCCAAGGTCTCTGCTTGTTCCATAAATAATACTCTGTCCCTTCCGTTTCTTGCCGCGTCCACAAGGTCTAGAATCTTGGTGGTTTCCTTTATGTTATAAGGTCTTTCTCTTCCCTCATCTCTCTACAGGTCAGGTTCAGCCACCAGGCAATAGTAATCCGCTCTGGCGGAGTAGTTCCGAGATCCTAAGTCCGAGATGTCTACATCTGCAGCGTTATCCCTGTCTCCTGTGTGCCTTACTGGAGCCATCCGAGGAGGTGGAGCTTTATAAAAAGTCCTTCGCACACCTAGGGGAAAAAGATCACATTAGTAGGATGGCAATAAGCAAACTACACACAGAAGATACATGGGGGTAAAGCACAATGGTGTCATGTAGTACCTAGATCTCCATCAGGGTCAGGATCTGCGGTCTCACTGTTTACACTCAACATGGGGTCCTTATCATCTTGATTCTGAGTCTGAGGGTCCCCTCTCCCTTCTGCTAAAGACATCTTTCGAGGCAGAGCAAGGCGCAACTCTTTCCAGAAGTCAGATGCAGGAGACTGTAGAAAAGAGGCAATATCACTAGGACTGACTAAGTTACATATACTGAACCATTATACTTATCAGGAGTTTGGTCAGAAGTTGCAGGCTTGAAGACATTTTGAAAACAAGCTCCTTTATGTAAAAAAAAAAAAAGGGAAATAATACATACAGTATGTACAGTATATGTTGCACATCATACCTGCATACTTTTCAGATACAGGTTTGACTTGGCTGTAAGTTAAATAAAGTTATATAAAGTATATGTCTGGAAAAAGAAAAGAAAATATATGCAGTATACAG